TAATAGAAAAATCAGCATTCTGCAATTGCTCGAATGTATATGCACATACTAAACACCAAGTATGCACCGTATTAGAATTTATTATAATACAAACAAGTCCAAACACAATATATTATCTAATTAAGAAAATATGAATATTTACTATTTTTCTATGGTAACCTCCTATTCCATTCTCTGAACTGGAATAGTCAACATTAGAGTCTGTTATTCACTTCAGATAGGCTCCCCATGTTGGACCAGCAGGCACCAACTGTGTGAAGTAATCTTTTCCGATTGCAGGGCTTTTGCAAAGTGGAAGTTCATGCCTTCTCATGGTCTGTCTGTTACGGTCGGTCTGTCATCCCCCTCATTTCCTTCCCCATGAGACATTTCCGTCTCAGAGAGGTTCAATGAAAAGACACAGCATGTAAGTGTTAGCATCGTTGCAACGCTCCACCGAGGACACACATCATACCTCAAGGGAGATGCTAGTTAACAGTCTTTAAAGAGGCACCACAAAAACCCAGTATAAGGCAATTGCTTGATGCCGTCAACAGCAGCTGTTTACGTGGCAGGCTTCGAAATTCAAGGCTTATCTCCAAAACTGGCCTGAAAGAAAAGGCTTATACATTTATTATTAATAGAACTTTTCATGACTGTCCATAATTATTATGATAAATAATAATAAATGAAAAGTCCTTGGATAATCTGAAATAAATTTAGGAGACATGAATCAACCTAACCCAATAGGCATTCATCTGCGTTTTAAATAGAAGGCACTGAAGTGCCTTTGAGAAATGGGCCTCTTTTAAATATTACTTAGAGAAATATAAAATATAATCAGAAGGAAAAGAGGCCACAATACTACTTGGTAGAAATAAATGAGTGTTGAGGAAACTGTTTCCAACACAGTATTCACACATGAATGATTAATTTTTGCATACAGTTAAAAACATGTAGCAGGATGTTGAGATTCATATATGTATTTTCCAGCTTACATACATTCTCAAAAAGGAATTGCTTAACCTTGATAGATATTGCACTGTGACTCATTCACATATAGCTCAAACTAGCATTTTTGAGAGCTATGTGTTTTAAAAATAAATAAATAAATACATAAATAAATAAATATATATATATATATATTCAGTATAGGTAGCTGGTGTCATACAATGTATCAGGAGAAGCCCATTCAAAAGTGTTAATTCTGTAACTTGGAGGACACTGTGCTAGGTGATAGAATCTAGGCACAGAAAGACAAATACTACATGCTCTCATTTATATGTAGAATCTAAAAAAGTCAAAATCTTAGAAGTAGAGAGTAGACTGATGGTTAAAAGAGGCTGGAGGGAAGAGGCAGAGAGGTTAGACAGGAGAAATATTTTCTGATCAATTGCATGGCAGGGTGACTATAGTCAATAATAATGTACTTCAAAATGACTAAGATCATACATTTCAAAGGTCTCACCACAGAAAATGATATGTAAGTGAGGTGATATGTTAAGTAGCTTGATTTAATCATTTCACATTGTATACATATATCAAAACATCACATTGTACCCCAAAATGTATACAATTATGATTTGTCAATTAAAAATAATATTAATAGAAAAATCAGCATTCTGCAATTGCTCGAATGTATATGCACATACTAAACACCAAGTATGCACCGTATTAGAATTTATTATAATACAAACAAGTCCAAACACAATATATTATCTAATTAAGAAAATATGAATATTTACTATTTTTCTATGGTAACCTCCTATTCCATTCTCTGAACTGGAATAGTCAACATTAGAGTCTGTTATTCACTTCAGATAGGCTCCCCATGTTGGACCAGCAGGCACCAACTGTGTGAAGTAATCTTTTCCGATTGCAGGGCTTTTGCAAAGTGGAAGTTCATGCCTTCTCATGGTCTGTCTGTTACGGTCGGTCTGTCATCCCCCTCATTTCCTTCCCCATGAGACATTTCCGTCTCAGAGAGGTTCAATGAAAAGACACAGCATGTAAGTGTTAGCATCGTTGCAACGCTCCACCGAGGACACACATCATACCTCAAGGGAGATGCTAGTTAACAGTCTTTAAAGAGGCACCACAAAAACCCAGTATAAGGCAATTGCTTGATGCCGTCAACAGCAGCTGTTTACGTGGCAGGCTTCGAAATTCAAGGCTTATCTCCAAAACTGGCCTGAAAGAAAAGGCTTATACATTTATTATTAATAGAACTTTTCATGACTGTCCATAATTATTATGATAAATAATAATAAATGAAAAGTCCTTGGATAATCTGAAATAAATTTAGGAGACATGAATCAACCTAACCCAATAGGCATTCATCTGCGTTTTAAATAGAAGGCACTGAAGTGCCTTTGAGAAATGGGCCTCTTTTAAATATTACTTAGAGAAATATAAAATATAATCAGAAGGAAAAGAGGCCACAATACTACTTGGTAGAAATAAATGAGTGTTGAGGAAACTGTTTCCAACACAGTATTCACACATGAATGATTAATTTTTGCATACAGTTAAAAACATGTAGCAGGATGTTGAGATTCATATATGTATTTTCCAGCTTACATACATTCTCAAAAAGGAATTGCTTAACCTTGATAGATATTGCACTGTGACTCATTCACATATAGCTCAAACTAGCATTTTTGAGAGCTATGTGTTTTAAAAATAAATAAATAAATACATAAATAAATAAATATATATATATATATATTCAGTATAGGTAGCCTTTGGTCAATGTTCATTCATAAAGGGATATGGTGGAATTGTGTTAAACACACATTTAATGAATGCATATATTCAACTATACATGCTTGGCCAAAGAAAGAAAAAAACAAAGAGAAGTGCAATTTCACAGACGTCGGGGAATCTGCCCACCTTTTCACTTAATGAGCTTATGTCCCAGGGAGCTTGTCAGAGGAGAGATACAAATCTACTTGTCCCTCAGTCCAAAACTTCCATGAACCTGTTCGAAGTGGGAGCATCTCACAGTACCAGGGTGATTCTAATGTGCTCAGATCCATTAGAATCATACAATATGGTCCCTAAGTGCAAGTCAGCCAAGGAAACAGCAACTTATTCCAACACTGGGGAAAAAGAATAACTGCCTTAGGTCTTCAAAGGGGTAGAATATAATCTCTAGTATGGCTCTTTCCTGAGAACTTTGCAAAGGTAACTTTAGGTCTGTCCAATTTTTGTCTTTTGCATTGACTTTAGACTCTAACGCTTGGGTCTGATTACTGCAATCATTTAAAAGGAGTGGGAATTAGGATCATCAGGACTAATATGTCCTAAAATTATATTGAGTTAGGATTGAGGGCATTGGCTGAAATTTAGGGTTTGTGTTGCCCTGGAGCCTTTTTTACCCCATTCATTCATTGCAAATTCTCTTAAAAAGAATATTTTCTAATTTAGGGATAAAATGCAGTCAAAATCCAGCCTGAGGAACCAAGTGTTCCAGGTGGACTGTCTGCATTTTGTTTGGTCACCAAAAATATCAAACAATTTCAAAATCATTTTGGAACATATCTTCCAAAACACCAATGACTTCAAATACTGGGAATCCAGAAAGAAGTTTTTTTTTTTTTTAAATGCCAAATAAAAGAAACTCCAGCATGGATTTCCCTTTCAAAACGTATCACTGGACACATTGGAGTCTAATATAATTAAGTGTGTGTGGGTACATGTGTGTGTTCACACGTGAGTGGTAATTTCCAAGGCAGTACTTACTAATTACATTCTATTACATTCTAGGACTATCCTTGCTTTGGACAGGCAAGAAGAGAGTAAACAAATAAATCTACAGTTTGTCATTTTGCAAAAGATCTAGATTAAATAGCTTCACTGAGAACTGGCACCCCCTCTTGAGGCCTGTGTATCAAAGGGCAGATGAGGAGCCAGCATGGGTGCCTTTCCATGTCAATCGTGTCTGCACTTGTGGCCTAAAGGCAATGCCAGCTGGGCTTTGGGGCAGAGTTGAAAATGCTTCCTTTCATAGCCAGACAGCTACAGTTCCTGACCCTCGAATATTAAATTCAGTTCACAAGTCATTTCAAATAAAACAATTTGGTACAGCCAGCAAAGAGGCAGGGTTTGCAACTCTACATGTATGGGGTTCTCTAGGTAGGAAGCTTGCGTGATTTACAGGAAGCAATGCTGAGTAATGGGATCAGATACAGCCAACACGCGGATGGATTAGAACAATGGCAAGAGTGGGCTTATTTTTTTGTTTTTTCTGGGCTCAAGAATTCCTCCTTTCCTCCCACGCACCAGGCAGGATCTTTTTTGTTGTTGCAGTTGTTGGAGGAGATAGGTAAAATCTATACATAATGGCAAATAGAAAACTGCATCTTAGACCTCAGGTCTGAGGGTCACAGTTATATTAGTTTGGAGCTTTCTTTTAGAAGCTCTGGCTAGAGTTTGGATGGGATTCAATACTCCCCTATTCTCACAGTGCCATTCTGCAGCTAAAATCTCTAGGGCCCTTCAAGACACAACCCTCTCTAGGACAAAGGGCACCTTAGAAAAATCCTGAATCAGTCAGCATTGTCAGCTGCTGGGAATGGCACAGGGAAGTGATGGATGATGTCAGCTCTTGGAAGAAGAGTTGTGGGCTCAGCTAAGTGCTACCGTGGCTTGGTATGTCACAACAATGAGTGATTCCCAGTGACCGTGAATGGTGCCAGAGCTCAGTCCCAGGCTATTTCTCTACTGTGTGTTCTTACTGGTCACAGGATGATGACACTACCTCCAATGGCATCTTCAGACTGGTAGGAACTTTTGCTGTTAAATCAACGTTGGAAAAATAAATGCATAAATAAAACCAAGATTCATGCTTTCCTTCCTTCTCTTCCATCTTTTCTCATCTACCAGTCTGAGAGTGGCTCAGTCTGTGGAGACAGAAAATCAGGTTAGCACTCTTACGGAGAGCTGTTCAGCTAGAGGATGGGGCAGTCTCCCATCTAGAAATGGATTAGACAGAGGCACAAGGTGCCAAACCTATGGGGTCACGGGGATACTTTTATAGGTTTTCCATTTTTGTCATACTGGTATACCAGCATCTTGATACAGTGTGAGTTTGCTGGTGAGATCCAGGGGCTACTTGTTATGGAAAAGTTATGATTGGTGTAGAACTGTACAGGTTGCTTCTGGCACTTGAAGAAAGCCTTGAGTGTGGCAGGCGCCCCACTGCGGGACCGCCTTTTGTGTGGGCCACCCGCCATAGTGCGGAACCGCTTACTGATGAAGCAGTAGAGGAAGAAGTTGATGGCTGTGTTCAGAAGGGCCAGCATGTTGGCAACGTCGGATACGATGTGCACCAACCAGCGGTTCTGGATGGGTGCCCCATAGAGGTGGTAGAGAATCATGATGATACGGGGGGCCCAGAGTGTGGCAAAGATGGAGGTGATGGTAAACAAGATGGCAGTGGTTTTCCCTGTGGAGTAGCCACGGAGGCGAAAATTGCTCTTCCTCCGGAGCTTGTACACAATGATGGAGTTCAAGATGAAGAAGATAGAGCAGGGCACCAGGTACACAGTGAAGCAGTGAATCCAGATAAGGACGTGGTGCATGGATGTGCTGATGTAGTCTTCGGTCCAGATGTTGGGCCACCAGTAGTAGGGGATGCTGGTCAGGAAGCAGGTGATGTAAACACTTACAATGACTTTCCGGGTGCGGGCTGGGTAGGAGACTGTGTGATATTTGAGTGGGTGACACACAGCAATATACCTGTCAATGGTTAATGGAACAGTAATCCAGATGGAGGTGTGGATGGATGAGAATTCCAGCACTTCTATGATCTTGTTGGGCACCTGAGGCATCTGCATGTTCAAGATGAAATCTTCCAATAGGAAGTCTACAAACACGATGAAAAAGAGGACCAAGATGTCGGCAGCAGCAAGTGCCAGGAGATAGTTGTAGGAGGACTTCTGCCTTCTAGCCACCAACTGAGAGAGGATGATCACTGTCAAGATATTTGCTGTGGAGAGAAGAGAATCTGGTTTATCTTTGAAGCAAAGATGACTTTGTTGGCTACTAGGAAGGCCCTAGGCATATGTTTATCTGGGTTTGCCCATGGAAGTTGAAAAGATTGAACCAATGCATTTGAGGGACAACCTCTGCATTATAAATAGCACCTCATGCAAAAATCTAGGTACTGTTTTAAAGCTACACTCATATTTTAGTTTATTTGCTTCTCACATAATCAGAGGTGGTGTTGCTGCCATTAACCTCATTTTAGAAATGAAACTGGGGTCTGGGAACTTAAGGAATTATTTTAAAGCAATACGGTCAGCAGGTTATGGTGGCAGAGATAAAACCTGGGTCTCCTGCCTCCAAATCTCGTGATCTTTGTATCCTGCATGGAGAACATGGTGCTGGGCAGCTTTTCCTGCTTTATATGTTCAGGTAGGAGACTGGACTTTGTAGCCTCTTAAGAATCTTGCTGGATGGAACTTGAAAAGACTTCAGGGTCTTTCCTTTCTAAGTTTGGATGGGATTCAATACTCCCCTATTCTCACAGTGCCATTCTGCAACTAAAATCTCTAGGGCCCTTCAAGACCACAACCCTCTCTAGGACAAAGGGCACCTTAGAAAAATGCTGAATCAGTCATGATTCATGGGAATGGCACAAGGAAGCAATGGATTTTTAGAAGTGAAGGAGTGGCTGCCTGGCCACAGTGATGCAGGCGGTAGGGTGCCATTGCACATACTGGAACCAGATGGGAGGCCTGGGTTTGGATCTCAGGTTTGCCTGAATATGCTGGGTATGCCTGTGTAAGCTCATGTTCCTGGCCGGCTGGAAGGCTAGGGGAAAGATCATAGCGTGATGAGGCCTTATCAGACATCTGTTCCTCTCCTTCTCAAAAGAAATCAATTCATAAAACTTACTAAAAAAATTTTATGAAGTAGATAAGATCATGACCTTCAGATTAATTTAAAAATAAATTATATTGGGTTAGCAGATGGCATGGAGGTAAGGTGCTGAATCCCACTTGGCTGACTCTGCGGTTCGAGTTCTGGACCTTGTGACTTGAAGGTCATAGTGGGTGCATGTATGTGCTTGCCCCAAATACTGAGAGAATAGAGAAGGGATTGCAATGTGGCCATCCTCCGTGGGGAGAGGGGGTGATTTCTCTCTCTGTCTCCCATTGTTGAGTGCACATGCCCTATAGCAAAAAATAATTTAACAAGGAGAAATAAATAAATTGTATTTATTTTTAGAAAAGGTCATCTACACACATTTTCATAGTTTTTTTTTTTTTTTTTTTTTTTTTTTTGTCATAGGGTGCATGTGCTTACCAGAGAGAGACAAAGAGAGGGAAAGTGAGAAATCACCCCTGGGGTGGCGGGGAATGGCCACACTGCAATCCCTTCTACTCCATTCTCCTCCTGGGTTTTGGGCAAGCACGTACATGCACCCGATGTGAATTTCAAGCAACTGGGTCCAGGAGTCGAACCACAATTGGCCATGTAGGAATCTAGCCACTTTAACCACTATGCTGCCGGCTGACCCTACATAGTTAAAATTTTTAATGGAGAGAATCAAATTTCTCTTCCATTCTCCTTCTCTAACCACTCAACCTCTCCTCCCTCAGGGTAACTACAGGTAGTAGATAATCTATGCTTATACAATGTAACCCTACATAACGTGCATGTATATAACTTTTGCACAGCCATAGTGCTGTGTTAGTTTTCTTAGGGTCAGATCTGATTTGAAAATACATACTTTTTAATCAGTTTAAAAAACACATACATCCCTGAAAAAGACATTTAAAAAAGTATTAGAAACTCACTCCAAAATTATATTCCAAAGGATAATATCTGGAAATCATCCCATACACACTTGTCCTCAATAATTTTCACAATCAATCCTGAAATCGGAACATTGTTAATCTGATTTTACAAATAAGAGTTGCAGAGAGTTTATGTTCTTTAATCTCAGGCCAGGCCACAAAGTTAGAATCTGAATCTCTCATTCTCTGACTCTCTCATTCTCTCCGTCTCATCTTCTCTCCTCATTTTCTCTCTCCCTTTCTTGGCAGCCATTTAAAATCTTATACAATAGTTCACACATAAAAAATGTCTTACAATAAACACACCCACACATCCTGGTGTACTCATCACTCAGATTAAACAAATTTTAACGTTTTGCCATGTTTACTTCAGTTCTTTTTAAAAAGAAATGATACTTCAGATACAGTTGCAGCCCCACCTGAAATAGCTCATAGCTGTTGCTTCCTCTATTTCCTTCTTCCTCTCCTCAGAGAAAAGTATAGCCTGTAGGTGGTGTGTAGTGTTTCGGGCCATGTTGGCATATTCTGGCTTACTTTTGTACTGAACTTGCCATTTTATATGCTGTTTTAAATTCTTTTTTTGGAGAGGTTTTTCACTATAGGGTGCATGCGCTCGCCAGACAGAGACATAGAGACAGGAAGCGAGAAATCACCCCCACCCCCCCGGGTGGATGGTCACACCGCAATCCCTTCTCTTCCATTCTCCTCTCAGGATCTTGGGCACGCACGCACATGCGCCCAGCGTGAGTTTTAAGCTACTGGGTCCGGGAAGTGAACCGCGGTAGACTAAGTGGGAGTCCAGTGACATAGCCATTACACTAACTGCTGGTTCCCCTGTTTTTTTTTATTTTTAAATTTTATTTATTAGTATCATAAACTTTTTTTTATCATCATAATCTTCTTTATATTACATTGGATTACATATAACTTTACATTGACTTCCATTGCTTTTTCAAAAGGGAATGCCATGCATGTCAGTCAATACAGAGACATCAATCTCCCCGCTTTATCATTCAATGTCTTTTCCATGCATTTCCCAATAATAATAATTATTATTATTATAATATTTTAAAACAGTCAATCACTATTTCTCATTTTGCTTGTTAAAAGACTTCACCCATCATGAAATACTTCCCAGACCAGTCCAGTTGAGAATACTATACACGTCATCATCAACAGATAATAAACCATATCTGTTTCTCACTAACATCCT